ATAATAAATATACTCTCCTTCCGGAGGTACATAAGAAAATGTCCTCCTTTCTTGTGGAGTGGGGCGAACACCTCGGCAGGATAGATGCATCTATGGATTGCGCCGCACGTCCCTCGGCAGTGTACACAATACTCTGGATCGGGTCGTACGTCCTCGGCAGAAATCGTGCTTAATAATAATAATTACACGATACTTTAATAGTTATTTCAGCTTGTGAAGCTAATTGATAAATTTGAGAATCCTTGAAATTTAATAAATTATTATTCCTGCTTGTTAAGGAATGTAACGACCCGACTGGTCGTTTTGGGAATCTGCACTTCGCTCGGTATTTTGAGGGCTCGAATATCTCCGCATAATATATTATGACTTGCGTAAATCATCGGTATTGGTTTTCAAGTTATCCGGAATCGATCTGGAAGAATGAACTTCAAGATTTAAGTTCTAAGTTGGAAGAGTTGACCAAGTTTGACTTTTTTAGCATTTGACCTCGGAATGGAGTTACGTCAGTTCTGTTAGTTTCGTTGGGTAATTTTGGACTTAGGAACGAGTCTGGATTGTAATTTGGAGGTCCGTAGTCGAATTAGTCTTGAAATAGTGAAAGTTAGATTTTTGGGAAGTTTGACCAGGAGTGGACTTTTTTATATCGGGGTCGAATTTCGATTCCGAAAGTTAGAGTAGGTCCGTAATGTCAAACATGACATGATTCAATATTTAACGGTAAGGATATTTTTGGTCTCAAAATCAAAAGAAAAACATAATTGTTCTATACCCAATAGTTTAGGGGTAACTTTGGCCCCTTTCCGTAAAATAACTGAGATAAATAAATAATGGTAAAGAAATGGGCTGGACCCATATATTTTCCTTATTGGCCCATGTACGACCTAAGGTGTAGGAAAAGGAGTGATTTAGGTCTTATAATAAATAAATAGAAGGAAAAAAAATAGAAAAACTGGAACGAAGGGAAACAGAGGCGGCGATCACAATTGGAGAAGAAAAGTTGGGGAGGAAATTAGAATCAGGTATTTATTCTTCACCGGTAGTACATGACATTAACTTTATACATGATTTAGTTTGTAGTTATTATACCCATCGTTAGGAGACGAGAAAATAATATGACAATGATTACTTCGAATTAAATGGAGGTTTCTGTGTACAATGTTTAGGAAAGAATACACTGTACCCATTTTGGTTTCTGCTACAGTGTTATTACACACTTTCGAAGTCTTGCTATTACACGGTTTTGATGTCTTTAATTTGGAATAATGATTACATAATGATTGTAGTAATAATGATTTAAGTTTTGGGATTTTAGACTGCAGTAACTTTGCATCAGAAAGTCACGTTCTGCAGTTGCACTGCTTTGGCATTCACGTTCTGCGTCTGATTTTAGAAATTCTATAAAATCATAACTTTATTAATTGAAATTGTTTTCTCTTGCATTGTGTGATGTATTTAACTCGTCTTTGGCTAGATTGAGCCGAACGGAGGTGAATTTGTAAAGGAAAAAGCTAAATTGAGTATTGAGTTAGCCGAATTTAGGTAAGTGTTTTGCCTAACTTTGTTGAGAAAATTTTTCCTACTATTTGACATTGTTTGCTACATGCGGGGGTGATACATATATGAGATGACGATTATATATGCATGTGTCATGGTAACCAAGCTCGGGGGTAAAATATGTTAATAAATTGTGTCTTGTAGAATCACGTGATCTTCTTGCCTCATGTCTTACTTGGCTCCTAGATACTAAGACCATAGTATTAAATGTTAGAAACTAAGACTTAGCTTATTATACCTTGATCAAATTTGATAAAAATTCTGAGAATACATTGGTGTATTTAATTCGGTCATCAATATGCATAATCATTAATACATTGCTACGGCCGATATTCTTGAGATACTAGTATTTGTATTGTAGATCATTTGTGAAATTTGTTGGAATACTTGAATAAAAAGGTTCTTGTGGGTTTATTGAACTATTGTTGGCTTGAAAAGTTGTGACTGGGATTCATTTGAAATATTCGTTTAAACACTCCCCTTAACGTTATTTATGCTTCCTGCCTTATTTGTCATTGATATACATATGCTTGGTAAGGAAGAGTGTAAAGTACGAAGGGTGATATCGTGCCTTTGTTTATGCATTATCATGTGAGGGAGAGTGTAAAACACGAAGGATGATGTCGTGCCATATTATTTGAGAGTTAAAGCACGAAGGGTGATGCCGTGTCATGTTATTTGAGAGTTAAAGCACGAAGGGTGATGCCGTGCAATATTATTGAGAGTAAAAGCAGGAAGGGTGATGTCGTGCCATATCATTGTGAGTAAAAGCACGAAGGGTGAGGTCGTGCCATGTTATGTGAGTAAAAGCACGAAGGGTGAGGTCGTGCCATGTTATGTGAGTAAAAGCACGAAGGGTGAGGTCGTGCCATGTTATGTGAGTAAAAGCACGAAGGGTGAGGTCGTGCCATGTTATGTGAGTAAAAGCACGAAGGGTGAGGTCGTGCCATGTTATGTGAGTAAAAGCACGAAGGGTGATGTCGTGCCATGTTCTGTGAGTAAAAGTACGAAGTGTGATGCCGTGCCATTGTATTTATATTATTACGCTTTCATGTTATGGTGAGTTCATGGCACGAAGGATGTTTCCGTGCAAGTGAGGACGAGAGACATGCATTATGTTGTGATATTTCTTTCTTGCAGATACCTTCATGTCTTTACCTGGAGTTGTTATTGTCGTGTTCATAGTTCTTATGTGATATGTCGTTATTATTCTGTCTTTATCCTGTATCACCTTGTTGTCATGATATCATGCCTTCTATTTGCTTAAACTTGCTAATATTATGCCTATTTCCTGTTGTTAGGATTTCATCCATGCCATCTCTTTTGTTGCACTTAAGTGTAGGTCTTCTTCCATACTAGTCGTTCATGTCCCTACTTGCTAACTTATAAAGATCATGTGTCCGCTTCCTTATTTGTCATATTTGTCTTCATGCCTTCACCTTTCTAGTTAGTAGAAATTACATTCCTTTTTCTTAATCATTGTCATTACCTATATGCTTTATGTTCAGTTTGTTACTGATGTTCTCATGTACACTCTCGTCCTCCATAGTTATTTGCGTAATTCCCACTCTGTCATTTCTGTTATCGGCATTTTTGTTATTTGGCTGGTACTGCTTTACGCATAATTGGTGAGGATGAAATAAATGCATGAAGGGTGTTGCCGTGCCGTTGAATTTGATGTCTTGGGTATATTTTTTCACATTATGAAAGTTTTGATGTGATTGTTGTGATTTATTGGCTTTCGCTCTCAGGAAAGGATTGTGTGAGATTTTGATACCTGTTCAATTGTGTTTTTCTTTAGTACTCCATTAGTACTTTGTATAATCGTTTCGTGTGCTCTACTCTATTGTACTGTAGTATAGTTTTATTATTAGTTACATTACAGGTTTTATCAGTGAGCATCTTTTAACCAAAGTCTCGTCACTACTTCGACGAGGTTAGACAAGATACTTACTCAGTACATGGGATCGGTTGTACTGATACTACACTTTTGCACATTGGGTGCAGATATTGGTTGTTGTTGTTGTTGTGTTCTATGGCTGCCCCTTGTTCATGATAGCCCTAGATTTATAAAAACTCTGTTTATATACTTTTCAGACAGAAGGATGTATTTACTTCATATCAGCTTGTAAATTCTATTCTTAGAAACTCATGATTTGTACTACCAGTCCTTGGGGATGTATAAGACTTAGATAACTCCTTTGTTAAATTGTGTTATTAAATTAATTAAAAATGGAAAATCGCTAATTGGCTTACCTAACGGGATGGGTTAGGTGCCATCACTACTAGTGAATTACGGGTCGTGACAAGGAATTAATTGTTATTCCTGTAAATGAGATTAATTGATAAATTAGAAATTATTTGAATTGAAGGAATTTAATTAATATATTGAGAATAGTTGCATTTGAAGAAATTTGATTATTTCTGTTGGTTAAATAAATTATTGTAAATTCTGTGAATCATGCTAATTTAGATATTCTAGTTGTATTTCAATTATTATTATTGACCCATAGTGAGTGTCAAAGTCGTTCATCTCGTCTCTACCACTTCGAGATTAGGCTTGATACTTACTTGGTACACGTTGTTTACGTACTCATACTACACTTGCTGCACTTTTTATGCAGGACCTGAGACAAGTACTAGTGGTGGACCTATCGTCTTACACCCACGTTATCCAGGGGCATAGTAGTGAGTTGTCTTTCTGAGTCGCTCTGCAGCTACTAGTATCTCTCCTTGTATTTTTATTCTGTCTATTTTTATTTCAGGCAGTATTTGAGACTTTGTATAATCTAGTAGATGCTCATACACTTGTGACATCAGGACTTGGCACACATATTGGTAAAATTTGGTATATTATTATTTTTTGGTTTTAAATTTTATCAATATATGCTTAATTTATTAAGCTGGCTTGCCTAACTGTAATGTTGGGCGCCATCACGACCTATAGGTGAAATTGGATCGTGATAGATATAGTTGGTTTGGTTTATTTTAATAAAAATCGAACCAACCCAATCTATGTACGTTGATGCACCTTTAACGGGTTTAACTCCCGACAAAGAGAAAAATCCCTATCATAGGGAGTGCTTCCCCTTTGGCCCTACATGTGCAAATCAGATTAATAAGTGGTTTATACAACGTGAATCCAAATTAGTAATTAAGTTTTGGATAACATATAGACGGTAAAAAATTAAAACTAATGATAAAACTAATTTTTTGCATTCAAAGTTCGTCATGGTGATGGATAAAAGTATAGGCTTCACGTTAATTAATCGATTACTATGTTAATGTAATTAGTATGTTTATCTAATTTATTAATTAAAACATAACTTAGTACAAATAGCGCAAGATTTAACTAGTACTAATCAAGGCAAAATCAAATGATATCAATATACTACAACAACAACAACAACAACAACAACAACAACAACAACAACAGTAAAAATCATATTGAGACTATGTGCCATTATTATTGGGACCCACAGAGGTCATATTAATGTGAATTATTTATTTTAAATTGAAAATTCATACTCAGTCATATTCATGTTATTACATATCATATCTTAATCTCTGTTGTTATTTATTGATATATCATATCATCATTTTTCGGGCTATTTTTATGACATTGTGCGCCCGAGAGACTGGAGAGATTGATGAATGAGTGAGGTCGAGAGCTTGATTGTGAGAAAAATTATGGGATCGGGCTGCACGCCGCAGCAGACCATATTGGCTTTATTATAGCACGTGAGTTGTCCGTGCGGATACAGATATTGATACCATAGCACATGAGTTGTCCATATAGCACGTGAGTTGTCCGTGCAGATTATAGCGCTTGGGCTGAAGGAGCCCTTCCAGAGTCTGTACACACCCCAAGTGAGCGCAGGTACCTACTTAGTGTAAGTGCCGAGTGCGAGTGCCGAGCGATTGGGGGGATTGAGTGACTGTGAGGACTGAGTGACTGGGAGGACTAAGTGAAATGATACTCTAAGAGTATGCATATGATTTTATCACCGAGTTGCATCGCATTGACATGCACACATGACATACAGACATATAGATGTATTTTTCTCATACTGTACAGTATCACATCATTCATGATTTCCCACACATGTTGACAGATGGGCATAGTGATGCATTCGTTTTACACGGGTTATCTGAAAAGAAAATGAAACATCTCTTTTATTATGGGAAGGAATTTTGGGAAAACAATTATTGTTTTCAAACTTATTCCTATATTTGGCAACTTCGATAAACGATTTGGGTTTTCACTGATGTACTTGAAAGAAAGAGTTATTTTTAGAAATCATGATTTAGCTGAGCATTTTATCTCTAAGTTACTTCTTGTATTATTGTTTTACGTTGTTATGGACTGTTGTGGGCTATTGATTTTGGACCCGGCATTGGTAAAAGCTCGTCACTACTTTCAACCTAAGGTTAGGTTTGTTACTTATTGAGTACGTGGGGTCGGTTGTACACATACTATACTTATGTACCTTGGGTGCAGATATTGGATGTTGATATTGCTGTACTCGACGGGAGCTGGAATTGAAGACGTACCTGCATTCCGGTTGTAGTTGTCTCTTGTTCATGGTAGCCTTAGATTTATAACAATCTGTTCATGTACATTTCAAATAGGTGAAGTATTATTTCATACTAGTTTTGTAAATTCTATTCTTAGAAGCTCATGATTTGTACTACCAGTTCTTGGAAAAATGTATTGGTTTTATCTATTTTTTTAATTAATTGCCTTATTAATTTCATTGGAATTGGATAGTTAGTAATTGGCTTACCTAGCGGGTTGGGTTATGTGCCATCACGACTAGTTGGATTTTGGGTCGTGACAACATATATATTCAATGAATTTTTTAATATAAAATAAAATCTAAGAAAAAGCTATTGGGTTCGTCTGAACCCATAAATACTACGCTACCTCTGTCTCTGCATATAAATATATAATTTATATATATATTTTTAAGACTTTATATAAAAAAAATTTTAAAAAATATCTAGAAATATTTTGGATCCTCATATGGGATGTAATATTTAATAGAACTATAAAGTGCATCCATTTTATTTACTTTAAATAATGGGTTATATCATCACTTTCTTATCAAGTGTTATTAAAATGCGTCAATCTCTTTGTTCTTTCATATTCATATGTCAAGATTTATTAAATTCTTATATCTTTTTCGAATTTAAAATGATATTTCTGTAATTTTAAAATTAAATAGAACATATCATTATTTAGGTTTTATATTAATTTTTATGTTTAGTTATTCAATTCGTTTGACCTTTTAAGCACACATCAACAAAAAATTATTGTTCGATGAGTAAGAAAAAACTATCATATGTTACTAAAAATATTCTCCCATAAGAAAATATTAATAGATCATGTTTGTCGGGTTTTTCTATTTTTTACTCAGCATATATATTTATCAAAACTTTATTTGTAACTTTAAAAAAACAAGATTGAAATAATATTCATGTAACAAAAAAATCTGAAAAACTGAACCAATTCAAACCGATATAGTTGGTTTGATTTATTATTAGAAAAAACGAACCAACATAATCTATGTACGCTGATGAGGTGATGAACCTTTAACCGGTTTAGCTCCCGAAAAAGAGAAACTCCCTATAATAGGGAGTGCTTCCCCTTTGGCCCTACATAGTGCAAATCAGATTAATAAGTGATTTATACACAACGTGAATTCAAATTAGTAATTAAGTTCTGGATAATATATAGACGGTAAAAAATTAAAACTAATGATAAAATTAATTTTTTGCATTCAAAGTTCGTCATGGTGATGGATAAAAGTATAGGCTTCACGTTAATTAATCGATTACTATGTTAATGTAATTAGTATGTTTATCTAATTTATTAATAAAATCATAACTTATTACAAATAGCTTAAGATTTAACCAGTACTAATCAAGGCAAAATCAAATGTCATATCAATATGAATTACCTAATTCATCATAGGTAAAAGAATCAATGGAATCAAGGAAATATACAAGAAAACAATGAAGTATACCGAAAGAATTAACAAATAGGTATAAAAATTTTCCAAGTCGCCTATATGGGAAGCAATGAAATTAAAAAGGACTTAAAAAAAGCATCGCAAAACCGGAGATGAAACCGGCGCCGTCGGCCATAACTTCAGATCAACATTCTCATCAGGGGATAAGCTCAAGTCTAAGCAAAAAATCATCTTACTGCTATTTGACTGCTTCAACACCGGTATAATTCTCTTTCCGACGACCGGAATAATCGTCTTTCCGGCTGCCGTCTACGTTTTATTAATTTCATCACGGTGACGCCTCATATGTCCACCTAAGGCTTGACCTAAAGAAAACTCCATACCACATATAGAACATCCATGCATTTTATTCTTTTTGGATTGCACAAGAAAATCTCCGGCTCCGGCGAGTAATTTTGGCCGTTTATGACTTGCACGGTGGCCGCCATGGGCTTGGAAAGATGGAAAGCATTTATTGCAAGTCTTGCATTCGAACTCATTGTGATTATTTGATGAAGTCTTGTTGTTTAGATGAGAGAAAAACATTAAGCAATTGGCGATGGCTTCTGCTTCTACTTTTGTGTCGTATTCTCTGCTTCTTTTCATGGCTGTCATAATATTGTTGGAGAAAAAGAATGAAGATAAAAAGATATTTTTTTTTTTTTTTTTTTTTTTTTGTATATACTAACTTTGAAACTTTGAGAGAAATATTAGAATGTTGAAGTGAGGGATATGATACACTTGAGTGTTTGTACATATATATTGGTTTAGGAAATTAGCCAAGCTTTCCTAGTTGCTCGAGACAGGTTACTAATTAGGATAAATTAACAATGTCGTTTGACTTTCCTTGTTGGCTTAAGCTAGTCAAAATAAAGAAAAGTTAGTCAAGGAAATGCATTATTGAGGGCTGGATTCCTTGAGGTTCCATGAATTTGACACTTCCGAAAGTAACACGAAAAGGTCAGCGTTTCCTTAAAAGTTTAAGCCAAAAAAAAAAAAAAAAAAAANAAATGAGAAGACATTCGCACAACAAAGGGTGTGTTTGGTATGTTCTCGAAAATATTTTTCTTTGAAAATAAATGGTGTTATCACTTATTTTCTCATATTTAGTTGGTGAATGAAAAAAAAATTTCGAAAATTATTTTCTAGTATTTAGTTAGAGAGTAGAAAATCTTTTTTAGGAAACTACTCTTGTAACGATCCGACCGGTCGTTTTGAGTTCAAGTACGCCGTTCAGCAGTTTGAGGCCATGAGTAGCTTCACTTCAGATATTATGACTTGTACGCGAGGTCGGAATTGAAATTTCGGAAGTTCAGAGTTGATTTGGAAAGAAAATTCTCATTTCGGAAGCTTTAAGTTGGAAGAATTGACTAAGGTTGGATTTTTGAGTAAACGACCTCGGAATCGGGATTTGGAGGTTCCAACAGGTTCGCATGATGATTTTGCACTTGGGCGTATATCCGGGTCGAATTTTGGATGACCCAGGAATATTTCGGGACCTATTATGGAAGTTGGCATTTTTAGAAGGATTTCTTAAATTTGAGTTGAAGTGCATTTCAATGTTATCAATGTTCGTTTGGGATTCCGAGCCTGGGAATAGCTTTGTATGGTGATTCTGGTGTTGGAAGCGCGTCCGGATGTGGATTTGGAGGTCCGTAGTTTATTTTGGGGTCATTTGGCGAAAGTTAAAAATTTGAAGATTTTTGAGAAGTTTGACCGGGAGTGGACTTTTTGATATCGGGGCCGGATTCCGATTCCGGAAGTTGGAGTAGGTCCGTAATGTCGAATGTGACTTGTGTGCAAAATTGGAGGTCAATCGAAGGTGATTTGATAGGTTCCGGC